CTCCACTGACATGTGGAAAACCCAAATAATTTTCCCAGGGAAACCAATTTCCACATCTACAGTATCTTAGTTTACCCCCGGGTAATATGAACGAACAGCACATGAGGGAGAAACATGTGTTACATCAACGGTACCAAAAGAATAGATATACCATGATATACCGATATACCTTCTATACTGCAGAAAAAAACCAGCCTTGACAAATGTCGAGATTCGATCAAGACTTGGTCATTTGCACAATGCGCAAGGGTCATAGCATGCTTTGAGAGTCTAGACCTGAATTGTCATGTTGGGTTATCAAAGAGCTGCAAATAAATGGATCAGCGAAAACACATGAATAAACAGATAAACAAACAACACTAGACATACAGACATACAGGATCGTACAGGCAAACATAGATACATATATAGAGAATCATAGACAAATATATCATTACTACTGTATGTTGTGTATATATTAATTCATATTAATTATGTACAAACATTGATTTCACTGACTGGTTCGACGCAAGGTGTGATCCTCGCCCTGGGGGCCCGGCGCGCGGGGCGCGTTGGGCGTGTTCCGCCCCGCCGCGTGCGGCGCAAAGCGCTGCCCTTTGGCATTGCAGTGGCGGGCACGGGGTCGGTGGCGCCGGAGATGGTGGTGGGGAAACTCAGATGGCAGGGACTTCATATGGGAGGTCTCTGAGGTCTGGTGGGTACCCCAAACTGGAATGGTTTATGAAAGAAAAACATTAAATATGTATGATTTGGGAATTCTCCATTGATAGAAACCTTCATGTGGGTTGTGTCAGAAAATCGGAAATTGGAACTGCCTCTCTCTCTCTCTATATATATATATACATATTATAGCCATTGTTTAATTGGGAACAGTGGCATAGATGGCAAACCACCGTTTTTGTTTTTGAAAATGAGAAAAGGCCTACAACAGCTACAACTTTCTGGGTCCTTGATGTTGTAGGTATATACAATACAACCATCAATACATAGGAGGGTTAACATGGCGATTTCGCTGAGTACTCGGTAGAATTACCCCATCTGGGTTTGTCTGAATGTTGTTTCTAGGCCCAATAGATGGTATTTTTTATTGGGACAATGATAAAACCATGTAATTTGGTGAACATCAGTCACAGCCATGATAGTAGTGTAGCCTGAAAAGAAATGGACAGACATCATCACATTTCCATCCATGTGCTAAAAGGCCAAACCGTTACCGATGGTCTCTTTCACTTCCATTTTTGATGTGCACCATGGCACCAGTGCCCCTTTGGCCTTGACCCTCACTGGATAATTCATCCAGTCAGCTATATATAGAAATCCTACTGTAGCTATCGCAACCAGTTGAAATAGCCTACATAGTGAAGCCCTCGTGATAATTTGGTGTATAACCCCATCTAACTATACGCACAGACCCCGTGGTTTGCCCGGACTGCAACATTGAGAATTTCCCGTCGTCGAACATGAGAAGAGAAATTGCAGAAAATACAGTACTGCGTATACGCAGTGTTTTCTGCTTTCGGATTCAGAGTTTTCAGGGTTTGAGGGTTTGGGGTTCGTCGTCTGGTAAATACCAAAACACTGGCCCTGCGCAGGTTTTTGAGCATGTCGAAGGATCATATTTGAATTCCATTCTAACCTTGCGGGCAAACCATAGAGTCTAACTCCGTAACTATAGATATCCTCATTAATATCTTCTAGTAACTCCAGTTATTGTAGTTATAACATGTTATAAACCCATCACATCACCTATCCAACGGGTGCCCCCAACAAGAGCTACCCCCGTTACGACGGTGGATATCCGCAGGTCTCCAACGACGACTTGTCCGAAGTCATGGAGACCACGGACGAATGGATCACCCAACGCACGGGCATCCGCAGGAGACATGTCATGGAGGACGAGGAAACGTTGGCGTGACCCGGTGGAAACGATTGGATGGGTTTTTTTGGTGTTGGAAAAATGTGGTGAAATGTCTCATCATTAAATAATGGCTTGGTTATTGGGTGTTGTGTATCGCTTTTGGGTTTGATTGCATAACCAATTCCCAACCAATTCCCGATTTTCCATGATTTTCCCTGAAGTGGGTCGGATAGAAACGATTGGTGGTTGATGACACGCAAGAGATATCTAGATTTGGTTCTCTGGTAAACTCACAAAACTATACATAAGTATGGAAAATCACAATTGTTTATGGGTAAATCAACTATAAATGGCCATTTTCAATAGCAAACTGTTAGTTTACCAGAGGGTACATGATAACAAATTGTAAGGAGCTCACTGCGATGTTACTAGAGACATGGTCCCATAGCTTGGTGTTGTGAGTTGTGGGGGGTGTTTCCAGTCTGAAGGTCCTTATCCGCAAAAGCTGCTACAAAAGCACTCGAGGACGCAAAGTCTCTCGGTCTTCACTGGTCGTGCTGAGTTCATGTGTTGCCCAAAGCATCCCAGACGAGATTTCGCTAAGGACACACCATCCCAGTTATATCATCTTGTGCAGAGAATAGACAGTTTTGTTGTTACATCGCAAACCTTGAATTGGAAGGTGCAAAAGTGTAGTATAGTGTAGTGGTGCACATCATGTTTGATTACGTCATGTGAATTGATGGAAGTGCAGTGCAATCTGGACTTTCTGGAACGTGGTAAAGCATGGTAAAGCCAATGCCATAAACCATCCCCAATATTACAATATGTGGGTGGGATTCAAACCATCCCCAAATGGTAGGTTTATGGCAGCCAGTGTTTCCCAATGTTTCCCACATTGACCCCCAACAAATGGGTCCACAGTGAGCACCGCTTTCTGATGCGCTCCTGCTGCTAGAGATTTTTTCTATGCAATGGTGAGCCACAGTCAATATCAAGCTCACTATATTGTACATTTAAGTGACGTTTCATACTACACAGATCTCTTTCTCAAGCCAGTAAACCATAGGATTCGCATCATTTTTTCAGTGTATAATAGTGCATATATCATATCATATGTATATATATATATATACACGTATAATAATGGTAATAAACATAATTTTGTACAATAACATTGTATAATAATATATAAATATATAAGTATCACTATATCCACTTAATTAAACATTGTTCCGTTCCGGACAGTAGCAACCCCACCGCGAGGTCACTATCCCAGATTTGGTGGGAAAATCCGCGGGAATCGGTCGAGGTTCAACGTGGAAGATGTGGACCTCGTACTCCATGCCACCTCCACTCCCGACGACCTCTTTGGCACCGGTCCGCAGGCGCGCGTTCTCAGTGGATGTGTTATAGAACTGGAATTGATATGTGTATAATATGTTGGTGGTCTGAAGATTGTTGTGATTGTTGTTGTCGTTGCCGTTGCCGTTGCCGTTGCCGTTGTGGTTGTGGTTGTTGTTGTTGTTGTTGTTGTTGTTGGTTGTCGGTTGTCGGTTGTCGGTTGTCGGTTGTCGGTTGTCGGTTGTGGGTTGTGGGTTGTGGGTTGTGGGTTGTGGGTTGTGGGTTGTGGGTTGTGGGTTGTTGGTTGTTGGTTGTTGGTTGTTGGTTGTTGGTTGTGGTTGTTGTTGTGGTTGTTGTTGTTGTTTGTTGTTTGTTGTTTGTTGTTTGTTGTTTGTTGTTTGTTGTTTGTTGTTTGTTGTTTGTTGTTTGTTGTTTGTTGTTTGTTGGTTGTTTGTTGTTGTTTGTTTTTTGTTTTTTGTTTTTGTTGTTGTTGTTGTTCTTGTTCTTGTTGTTGTTGTTGTTGTTGTTGTTGTTTGTTGTTGTGTGTTGTTGTTTGTTGTTTTTTGTTTGTCTGTTTGTTGTTGTGTGTTTGTTTTTTTTTGTTGTTTGTTTGTTGTTGTTTGTTTGTTGTTGTTTGTTTGTTGTGTGTTTGTTGTTTGTTTATTTGTTTGTTTTGTTTAATTGTTTGTATGTTTGGTTGGTTGGTTGGTTTGTTTGTTTGTATGTTTGGTTGTTGTTGTTGTTGTTTTTGCAGGCATGTTTTTTTAGTTTATGGGATATGTGTTCATTGGATCCGTTGGATCTATTGCCAGTTGTTTGGTTGGCAATGGCATGGCGCACTAGGTCACTAGGTGACTCCAGACCTGGCCACGGTATAGTCAATGGTAGAGATGTCTTGCAACTGGGTACACATATAGCCGTATAGCCATGGATCAACCGGGTTCCCCTATCATGACTTATTTTATCTTAATCAAAATGACGATTATCAATGATTATTATACAATTGGTTGGGATTGGTGTTTTCAGACCCATGTGGTTAGTTGATGCTTGTGGAAAGCATCCAGGAACCTAAGAGTTCGATCTAAAGATCGATTGGTTGCTGCAATATGTTGCATGTTGTTTAAATTGTAGATCGGAAATCGGCACTAGTGCTTGATCAAGACAAGACTGGCAGGTTTTGGACCTTTGGTTTTCGAAACCCTTGGAATCAGATGTTGATTCCCATGTGGCCGAAGCACTGAAGCAACAACCAGTGAAACTTTTCGCCCTGTTCCTGGCCTGTTAAGCCCATATTTTTGTGAATGCTAAGTCATCCCCCCAGTCATACTCTCAATATGGATGTTGACCATGCGCTTGCCAAAAGGTGACCTAGATACATCATCTTGTGGCATTCCCTTTCTTGCAGGATATTGTCCCATGACCTTCCCATTTCATCCCATAAGACCAACCTCCCCATTTTTTTCTCATCTACTTATCCCAACTTACCATGATGACATCATAGATTATTATGGATTTTGGGCATCATAAAACCACGATTTCTTGCGAATTCGATGCTCCTGTCGCTCGATCAGGTGGCGTCCATGATTGGTGCCACGAACGCTGTGGCCTTTGACCTCACGGCGGCCTGCTCAGGCCCGGGGTATCCCAAGGAGGCCATGGCGTGGATCACAAGTATCACAATGGTTATATGATTAATAACCATGGTTTATTAATGGGGCTATCAAAATGATTAATGGTTATAATGGGTTTATCCATGGTTATCTGGTTGGTGGCTTGGAACATGGTTTTTTATGACTTTCCCATCATATTGGCAATGTCATCATGATCCCAATTGACGAACTCATATTTTTCAGAGGGGTGGTTCAACCACCAACCAGCAAATATTGAGTAGGTTATAGTAGATCAAGATAGATCAAGTGTATCGGAAATTTGTGATTGGAGAAATCTGAGTGACACAAATTGGTAGTGGTAATTAATGGTAATTACTCATATGTCTCCAATCACGCAACATTGGATCTTAGAAGTTTGAGCTTTTGGATGATCAACTGGTTCCATAGCATGCCATGCGTTGTTGCTGGACACAGGGTCCAGCAACAGCAGCATCATCATTCATGCTCCCCATCGAGATTGTGATTAAGTTTTATATAGGAATGATTATTTAGGTATGCTTAGATTATTTGAATTCCAGGTTCCGAAACTTAATTTTCGGAGATTCTTTCAACCGGCAAGTCTGATGTCCAGGAAGTGTCCTCTTGTTTTGTTCACCCATCTCCTGTTCAGGCTTCGTTTTTGCCTTGGTGACGGCTGCCCAATATGTGCGCGGGGTCGGCCCAGCCGTTTCCGTTACAGAAATTGATGTAATTCTGTATAGTACCCCCGCAGAACCCCCCGAAAAATATAATTATAGAGGGTAATTAATTGATTTGCCATTCTCAGATATTTTTTGTAGGATGTTATTTTTCTACCGTTTTAGGGTTTGCTATAATTGGAAGATATTGGAAGAGACTTGAACATCTTTACAACAAGTGCGGAAGGGAGATCGCAAGCTCAGGTTCAGGCGCCTTCAAAAATGTCCTGGTGATTGGGGCAGATGGTCGGAGCCCCTGATGGTTGCCCACTATTCATGGGTTATATCAACAAGTTGCCCTCTCAAATTCGCATTGTTGGTGAAAGTTGACAAATCCCAATGATTTCATGAATTCAGTCCCCATTTTTTTAAAGGAATTGAAGTCCCAAAATAAGCCCAAAACCGTTGAAGTTCCAAAATTCATGGGTTCAAAAACCATTGAAGATGTTGAAGTAACAAACAATTCAGAACACATCCGGGTTGAATCCCTGCTTGGGGGTGCAGTTCCAAGTATAAGATCGATGTTAGAAGTGGTTATATAACCATGTTCATAGGAACCCCCATATCCCAACTTATACATAATTCTGGCGGAAAACATGGTGCATGAATCCCATGGCCTTGGTGACAACCCCTGACCTGCAGAAGTAGGTTCATCCAGGTTCCTAATTATATCCCATGATATCCCATGTTTCATGCCATAAAAATCCCCAAAGCCCCAGTGAAATCCCATGATATCCCATGTTTCATGCCATAAAAATCCCTAAATCCTATGAAATCCCAGGGATCCCAGGGAAATCACCAGGTCTTTCCCGCTGGGTCGATTGGTCGGACCGTGGCACCTGCGTCCTCTTCGGCGACGGCGCCGGGGCGATGCTCATCACGGCCGCGGAGAGCGAGAACGATGTGGGATGTCCCAAGTGGTTGGTGGTGGTTAATGGTTATAAATTGGGATTAATGGTCGTAATGGGGATATGAATGATACATGGTTTAATGATATTAATGTTTATAATGGTTTATAAATGGTTATACATAGATAACCATGGTTTATTAATGGGGCTATGAATTATTAATGGTTAGAACATGTTAGAACGGGTTTTTCCATGGTTATAATGGGTTAATAATGATGGCCCCATTATATGGATAATATAATAATATATAATAATACCCATGGTTTCATTAATGATGTGGGATGTCCCATTATATGGTTAATAACCATTTTTTATTAATGGGGGTATTCATGATTCATGGTTATAATGGGTTTATCCATGGTTATCTGGTTGGTGGCTTGGAACATGGCTGGATTATGACTTTCCCATCATATTTGGAATGGAATGTCATGATCCCAACTGACGAAGTCCATCATTTTTCAGAGGGGTGGCTCAACCACCAGATGTTATTCAAAGTGACCCTTTTGAGGTGAAGTGACCTCAACTTGATGGTTTTATCAAGGTCACTTACAAGAACCAGCTTTGGGACTCAAAACTATAGAACAACGATGAACAAACTGCGAGCTTCAATAGCCTTAAATCGAACAGATAGTCAGAGAAACTAGAAGACAATGAAACCATGAAAAAAACACGGGATTGTGAAATTTTAAAAAATCATTTTAGACATTTTAGCCATCACCTATCCAGTGTTTTTTTTGAAGGGAGCGGTTCGGAGCTGTTTGGGTATCCAAATATACATATGAATAAAAGGAGGGGCCAGTCAGTTGGAGCTATACACAAATTGAATTTCCCACCCACATAAACTAGTCATAGAAACAGAAAATGGATGGAAAAATCATGGGATTGTGAGCCTACATCATCTAAGTCAAACAAGATTGAATTTTGTAGGCATGGGATGGGCTGAAACCAAGCTTTGTGAATGGCCCCCGCGATTGGTTTGACCCGGTTTGGCCATTTCAATAGGATTGCTGAGCTGAAAATTCACCATCAACTGGCGTCCCTATGCTTGGTTCATCGCCAATCAACTGGTTGGTGCTTTGGAACATGGCTTTTATGACTTTCTATATATTGGGAATGTCATCATCCCAACTGACGAACTCATATTTTTCAGGGGTAGGTATACCACCAACCAGATGTTGGTTCTTCAGTCCATTCATTTTCAGGAATGAAATGTGAAGAGTGAGACAGAAGAAAATCTATAAGAATTCTTGATGAATCCTTGCTCTCTGATTGATCTCAGCACAAATCCTCTGCAGCAAGTCGCTTCTCATTTTTGGGCCCCTTCCCTTCGCGGGACACATTTTGAGCGTGTAGGAGGCGCTGGGGAATTCAATGGCAGGGGCTTCCCTGTTGTTAAATGTAGATACCATACTTGGTGGTTCACCCCGCGTACTACGTGGGTTGTAACCCAAGTCATCAGTACCGTACGCCGTAGGACTTCGGATAAGTAGGGTTAGTCCAGTTGTGACTGGAGTTCTAAACCATTTACCAAGTGGGGTGAACCACCAAGAGGGTTCTGAGGGTGGTATTTAATAAATGGAGGTTTCCTAAAATAGGGGTACTCCAAAATCATCCATTTTGACTGGGTTTTCAACCATCCATTTTGGGGTGCCCCCATTTTAGTAAACCCCCAAATTTCAATATCAGGGAGAGGGATTACTTTCCAATGGTTAATGTGTCGATGCTTCAAGGATGGCAGATGAAGGGGAACTTCGGCAAGAGCTTGCTACACATCCCAGAAATTCCCAGAACACCAGAATAGAGCATTCCACAAGAAACCTGTATCTTTTGATGATGGTACCACTGTCAACCTCTGTCACAGCTAGCGGATAAGATTTCGGTGTGTTTGAAATCTGAGAAATGATACATGCAGTACAATATGGTTGAATGGGAAACATTGGATGATATTTTTCTAAACTGAGGAGGGCGGGTGGTAGTTACCCGATATCTCAGCCTCGATGGTAACAAATGAAGAAACAAACAGTGGCAACGTCCAAGTTGTGTGGCTCTACAGAATGCTGTGCTATTTATCACTGGAAATCCAAGTTTCATCATGTTTTTCTATGTTTTTGTTTCTTAAACTTATGATACCTTTAGATGTCTACAACTTATCGGTGTTCTTGTGTTGGTTATATTACTAGTTGGGGGGACCCTAGGGACACCCTTACTTGTCCAGCTGGAAAAAAGTAAACCATTGGAAGGTTAAGGTTGGGCAGGAATTATTGCCCGGATTTGCCCGGAACAACTTTTGACGAAGCACTTTAAAAACCTTATGTTAAGGCATTTTTTGCGCAACTTGAACGCAATCGAACGTAAATTGAATGTAAATTGAGCGTAATTCGACGATAGTTTATGCAACGGACATGAACAATCATTCAGCTACAAGGAAGTACGTGACGTCTCGTTCGCAGACGTGACCATATCTTAAATATTCTTAAATCAAGACATTTTTGGTGAATCTGGAGAAGAAAAGGTGTCCCAACACTGCAGGTAATTACACATACTTTATATTCATATATATATATATATTATATAAATATATATTATAATTATATTATATATATATATATTATATTTATATATATATATATAATATATATATATACGTGTACATAATATATGAATAATGCGTATGAATTCTATCCCATGTTTGTCGCTTTGTTCCCATGTTTCACGTGAGCCCCACATCCTTTCCCGTCGCAGGCCCCATGGCGAATCCGACGCAATGGCCTGCGCACTTGCGCAGCGTGAGCCGCGACCGGTCCAAGTTGTGTTCTGTGATGACCTCGTGGCAGGGGCTGGACCAAGATGCTCGGATACAACTTTCGAAACGGGATGTCATTGGATGATAGGGATTAGTATACTGATCAATAGTGGTTAAGAGTGCATGGTTAATAGTGATTAATAGTGGTTAATAAATAGTGGTTATCTCAAATTTCGTCAGTATGGGGGTTTCTTGAGTCATGGGGATCCTGAAGTCAGCATGGTTGTTTCAATACTAAGTCATGGTCTAATGACTTGGATTGATTTGGGGGTATCCCCATTTTAGGAAACCACCATATGGGATATATGGATGTGGGTCAAAATGGAAGACCGATGTGGGACCACAGATGTGAATGTCTAGTTTAGTATTAACCATCCATAATTTTGGGGTACCTAATTTTGACCCATACCCATATCATATTTTGATGATAACGGTTGCCCTAAGAGGTGTCACGGTGTCATGGCTCTCTGGGACATCCCCAAAATCTTTGGGAAAATCCTCGAAGAACAGCGATATAGGATGTGACTGATGTGACTTGTTGGTCATATGTTTATTGATGATTCAACAAGCAACTAAAGGTGGCTTACCCAAAGCATTGTGGTATGATGGGGATGATATTATGGGGATACAGTTCGGGATTTTTGATTTGCCTTATAGTTGGCATTGGTTGCATTTTCTTTGCCTTCCTATTATCTTCCAGTTATAAGAGTGTATAGCTCAACCGCTTCGCATTGATCGAAAAGAAATCCCACAGATGTTTCTGGGTTTGCTCAAGGAGGTGTTTCTTTTCTTTACTTGTTTTTTGAATATATAGATCATATAGAAGCATGGGAAGTCTATAGAGTCTATAGAGAATTGGTTTTCATTGTTTCAAGGGCATTTAAAAGTACATCCATGTCTTGGGATGCCCAAGGACGCAGAGATTGACAACCTTGAAATGGATGAAATGGGTGCAATGATCAAAATACAGATAACAGGATCAAATTTCTGGGTAATGGATGAAATGGGATGAAATGAAGGTAAAAAATACTCATCAGATTTGGGGATTTGTAGGATTAAGTATCGAGAAAGAATGCATTAATTAACTTTACTGAAAGCGCGAACATGGTTATGATAGCCACCCAACAGATTTGATTTTATGACGCGAGGAGATTGGGCCATTAATCAATGATTAAATGTATAATTATATGATTTGATATGTATTTCAGTAGGGATAGAATTTGCAAAAATTCTGGATCAGTCCAGACATGTGGATAGCCCGCAGGATGATTTCACGGCCCTTAAAGTAGAATAAGTAGATCTGTGTCGTTATCCATGAATCCGTTTTTGGCCAGGCATTCAGAGTTGATCAATGTTCCATTTTGCAACCAGCGCCGAAATAGATGCTTTGGGTAAAAGCTGCGCGTCCCCAAAAGTGTATGGTGTTAGTGTTCGTGAACACATGTGAACACGCTTGTCATTTTGGTATTGAGGTATCCTCTTATCAGATTTCTGTGTTGTCGATCCAGATCCCCCTAGATCCCAGCCCATTATGGCTGGGAACCCCTACAAACCAATGCAAAATTGGTTCGTGGTTTCAAACATTTATTGAGTTTGTTGTTGTTCAACCATATCTTGAGATGGTTGGTTGGGATGACGACTTTAAAAAATCGTTTGGATGGGTCAAAACATGTCAAAACCACCAGAAAAGGCATAACACGCCTTTGATCCAACCGAGGACCAACCAAAATTGGTCAAAGTCTTTGTTTTCTTAGCCGCCGTAGAGGACGATCCAGTGCCTGAGCAGAGCCCAAAAAAGGGTCAAACAGGTCATGGGCTGCGGTGGTTGCTGGCTAAACTCGGGGAAAAAAAGGGGGAGAGCTTCGTGGTTGAAGAGCACTTTCTGGCTTTTCCATTGATGGAGTGAAAAAAGGGGTGTTAATAATGTTAATGTTAAGCCTTACACCGAAAAAAACTGAAAAAGAAGAGTTCCAAAATGTTCCCAGTTAGACGATGACAGTGATGAAACGATCTAAGTGGATCCAGAAAAAATCATTGAAAGCTGTTTGAGATTCATCAACGGCCGACTTTGCATGTTAACCTCATCCCCCATCATTCCCCTATATTCAGGAATCTTTCCATAAGAGACCCTGAATGAAGATCTACGTGAGTAGTTCTTCGGATTTTTTTCGCGGGAGGCGTTATTCAGGCCG